AAGCCACACTCCATCACCCAGGCATCAGTACAAACTATGAGACCAAGCTGTTTGTGGCCTGTGATTCAGCTACGACCAGCATTGAACTGGCAGCCTTGGTTGGATCCAATATAGGATTAAAACCTGGCCGGAACCTCACCAAACCTGTTGTCCAACATTTTGCCCGTGGACCACCATGTCTCTTGGTCTTGGATAATCTGGAAACATCATGGGAAACAATTGAGTCGCGTGGTGGAGTTGAAGAATTTTTATCCCTCCTTTCTGAGGTGTCACATCTTGCACTGATTGTAAGCATAGTCCCAGAGTAACTGGCACTTATGCTAATTTTTCCCAGATCACAATGCGAGGGGCAGAGAGGCCATCCAAGGTCCACTGGACTCACCCATTTTTACCACCATTGAGGCCTCTGGCTGATCATGCAGCTCGCCAGACTTTCATTGACATCACAGATATTGACCATGATAACGAGGAAATCACCCAACTCCTTGAGCTTACAGATAATATGCCATTGGCAGTGACTCTCCTGGCTAATCTGGTGGACTATGAAGGCTGTTCTAGTGTCCTGGCCCGATGGAAGACAGAGAACACATACATGCTTTCTGAAGGCCATGACAAAAGTTCGAGCTTGAATTCATCAATCGCTATTTCGCTTTCCTGTCCGCGGATGACATCTGGAGCCAAGAACTTATTGAGCCTTCTCTCCATTCTTCCAGATGGTCTTTCCAATGTTGAGCTTCTCCAGAGCATCCTCCCTGTCCCTGATATCCTCACATGCAAAATGGTCTTACTTCAAACATCTCTTGCCTACACCGACAGCAAGCGCCTGAAGGTCCTTGTCCCTATCCGGGAGTACATGCAGCATATACACCCACCATCACCATCACTGGTCCAGCCTCTTCGAAAGCACTTTCGTTCGCTCCTTGATATGTTCCGGAACCATTTTGGAGTACAGATCAATGGGTTGTCTGATCAGATAAATTCCAATCTTCATAATATCCACCACATCCTGCTACCAAGTCTGCATCAAGACAACACTGAACTCATGGAAAATATTTATTGCATCCTCGCTTTCAACTCTTTTAGACGGCTTGCTGGACATGGCCGTTCTTCGTTGATGAATCAAATCCCACCCCTGTTGCCTCGGCTCGCAAATCCAAGATTGGACATCAATTTCACCATGGAAGTGTTCCTCACAGCAAGCCATTATCCTGTTTCCGATCCAGACATCTTGATTGACCAAGCCATCCATCACTTGGCAAATTTAAATGATGTCAATGCTTTCTTGTGAGTGTCGGATATTAATTCGTCCGTTATGATCCTGATGACAATCTTTTGGAAGCTAAGTTCTATCGTGTGGCTGGAGGGTACTGTCACAACCAGAGAGATGATATAGCTATGAGTCTACAATTTTATGATAAAGCCCTTACATTGGCGACAAGCTGTGAAAATCTCCAGCAGCAGGCTCTCACATTAAATCGTCTTGCTCTAGCAAAGCGTGTCATTGGTGATTATTCCGGGGCGCAAAGACATGCTTGTGAAGCCCAAAAGAGGTCACAGATTTGCGGAAACATATATCAAGAAGCTCTCGCACTGCATACTCAAGCAGTCTGTTGTTCGTCTCTGGGCAGCAGTAAAGCTGTAATTGCATTTTGTCAGGAAGCGAGTCAGCTGTTGCAGTTGTGTGGTATGCATGGTGGTCACCTAGATGATGCCATCACAACCACTATTGCCGCTGCTCATTGCCAAAAATCAGAGTATATCGAAGCTCGCAGGATCTTCACAACAATTTCTCATCGCACTTCACCCACCAAAGTGCCCTGGGCTTATGCCTTGAGCCTTGTCAATATCGCACAGATTGATGTGGCCACCGGCGAACCTAAAGACCTTGTGGAATCCAATATTGAAAAAGCTACTCAAATATTTGCTGCGATGCAGGTCCCTGCGCCCCTAGATTTCTGTAAAGTGGTTTTGGCAGATCTCATGCTCCGGGAAAGGAACATTCCTGATGCAAAAGAACTATTCCAGGCAGCTCTGAATTCCCAACGGGGTAAAGATGCTGCAGTTGTGACTTACGCCATGGAAAGACTTGCCGATGTTAGCTGCTGGCCCGCTGATGAAATAAAGTGGTCCGCCAAGTGGCAAGTAGTATATCTAGCTCAAGCACAAACGTCACAGCGAAAGGTCGATCGGTACAAGGCATTTCAATTCCTGGGAGATAAATTCAAGTTGCATGGGGATGAAGACACAGCACATAGTCTGTTTGAAGTGGCCCTGGAGGCATTCACGACAATGGAGATTCATCGGAGCCAAGGAGAGTGCATGCTGTGTCTGGGAGATATTTCGAAGGAGAGAGGAGATTTGCTCAAGGCCGTTGGACTGTGGAAAGATGCCCGTCCGTTGTTTGAACGGTCTGGTCAAGCAACCCGGGTTACCAGCGTTGATGCCAGACTTGCTGCTGTGGACGCCCGCATCATGCAGCAGCATGCGGAGTCAGTGGAATATCTCTCCCGGGTGGAGGCACCGACGACATCACTAGCCACTGAGATTCATCCGTTGAATATCGAAGTAGGGAAGAATAGGGATTCCACCATCGAACCAACATACACTTCCCTCTAACTTATAGTCTCCTGTCCCTCTTGAGACCGTTTTTCTTTATATTTCTGGAGTTTGTTGATCTTCCTTACCACATTGCCTCTGTCAATTCTATTTATTTATTTATTCCCCGGGCGAAAACGTAAATGACAAAGTGATGTGTCATTTAATTTCGCGTAAGTATGAGGCTGAACATTCTGGAGCCGCGCGCTATCCGGACCTCGACGAATGTGATTGCGGTTTAAGCATCCGACTCGGGTGCGTGGGACCACCGAGCGTGAGCTTGACAATGACATACGCAGGAGATGAGAACGAGCTTGAAATACGCGGGGCAGAAGTAGCGCTCGGGCATCGCGTCCAGGGGATCACCCACCGAGCACTGAAAGAGGGCCAAATTCCCAGTGTTCGGGCTAGAGAGCTCGTGGCCGACGAGAAAAACCCCAAGAGCAAGCGAAGAAGAACAACTGCCGACTGGATACCCAGTCGAAATAAATGGAGAAATAGAGAAAGTGCCACCATGTTTCAGACTCCCTTGGGAGGAGGAGGTGGAGGTATATTATACTGACGCGGCCTCGGAACAGCCGTTTTACAGCATGTGAACGCTCGCGTCCGGTGCAGCCGGACTACTGTGAAGGCCATGCGGCCGTTGGGAGAGCTAGGAGAGGAGGCAAGGACCTGAACGGACTGACACACGAATGGACGGATGCTACATGAATGGACGGACACGCTACGCTACGTATTCTTATTATCCTAAACTTGTGTATTGAATGCACTATTAATTTTATATTCCCCTCCGCCCGTCCCGTCCCAGCGTGGTGTCTCTGGCTCCCGCAAGATCGCCCTCGCGCTTCGTTCGATGTGTCTGAGTCGCTTCGGCCAATTCGTCTCGCACACCACCGGCGCGCATATAATGGTATATGCTGGGAGTCATCCATTAGAAAGTTGAGTATCGTACAGGCCTCGTTGAATCCGCGCAATTCCTCCAAAAAACCGAGAGCATATCGTCTCATACACAACTGAAATTAGGAGAGGCAATGAGCGGGGATCGCACATTTTCCTCGGTGTTACAAGGTGAGTGACCTCGAACGTCACTGGAGTGAATCATCCCCAAAGTTTCCCTATCCTTGTGCTGCCACGAGCTAGGAGGCTGTCGGGTGTCCATGAGAGGATTGAAAATCGGGCAGGATCAATCCCCGCGATTTAATCGAGTCGAATACAGCGTGTTGAGTTAATTGCTGGCATGGATCGCGTGGAAAGGACGCGCTCGGAACCCATCCCGAAAGGAGCCCTGCTCACCATGACGGGAAAAGAAGGAGTGAAAGAACGAAAGAAAGAAAAAGAACAAAAAAACGGTCGTGGATAGAGCCTCACGCAGCGGCGGGGAGTCGAACCCCGGACTCCCCATGATAATGATATCGGTGTCAGAAGAATTACTACGAGGTGTGTCCCGTACACCACCGGCGCGCAAATCAGGGTATATGCGGTTGGTAATCCAGGCGAGGCGAGAAGGAGAGACGACTGCTGTGTCGTCGTCGCTCGAGCAGGCGAGGGTTTTGCCAGCGATGACGAGGCTAAGCATGGCACAGAGTTGCCACTTGTGGCGTGGGACACAGAGGATCAGCATCGTGCGGTGATGAGTTGGAGGTCTGAGGGATGGGGAGAGGCGGCGCGCTAGACGGGGATCGAGTCGATAAACAAAAACAAGCGTTATTGAAGGACTGATGCACCGGCGGGGAGTCGAACCCCGGCTCCCACGATACTGGTGGCGGTTGCAGACGAATTAGTACGAGGTGTGTACCGCACACCACCGGTGCGCATACCCTGCTAGTCCGGAACCAGAGCTTGAGAGTTAGCTGGGGTGCTTAACTCCCAAAACCTGAGCTCGCACGTCGAGTCGAATGAGTCGTGGCCCGGGGACGAACGTCTTGATCTTCGAACTCGCGCGCACTCCGGCGGGGTCTATACTAAGCAAAGTTAGGCGCTGGAGCTAAATTTAATAAGAAAAAGAGGACCATATGTAGAACAAATGCACCGGCGGGGAGTCGAACCCCAGCATTCCCATCACATCGTCACGAAAGCAGCATGAGTATGGGGTGTGTGCCGTATACCACCGGCGCTCATACCCGTGTGGAAGCGGGGGATGAAGAGTTGTGAAACCCTCGTTGCATCTGCGGGTGTGATATTGCTTCAGATTTAGTCATGCGCCGCCCGGGCCTAGATCGAAGAAGGCACCATGTAGGTGGTTCGATACAATACAGCGAGAAGAGGAGCGCCGAGCTTAGCTGTGTTGAGCACCGAGGAGGGATGGATGTGGAGCAGAGACGTCGATTGCTCGCGCACTCCAACGGGCTCTAATAAATAAAAAATGTCAGACGGCAGGAGAAAAACATGGCGAGGAAGTCATTTTATGCACCGGCGGGGAGTCGAACCCCGGGCTCCCCATCAACGACAACGGAGGTCTTTCAAGATTATGGGGTGCGTACCGTACACCACCGGTGCTCGTACCCTGCTGTGAACCGTCCGTAATATGAGAGCAAATTGAGAGCTGTGATTACTCTTCCGAGAGAACGGTGCGCCTTTAGTCCCATGTACAGGCACACCCAGAACAACACCGCGGTGAGAATCGCGGACAGGGGTTCGAAGAGAGACGACTCGAGGCGTGGGGATGGGCGGAGCGCCAGTTCGGCAATGTGAATTAATCCGAGATCAGAAAAGGACTCCAAGACAGATGCTTGCCTGGGTAGTGCAGACCGAGGTGGCGAAGATGCGGAAGCGGAACAGGGAGCGGATCTCTTGCGATTGATAGTGAACCAGGGGTGCAAGGATTCAGAAGCTATTGTGGTCCTGCGTGCGCATAGATTTGAGAGGAGGGGGCAGAAGACCTCTTTGGATGAGGGAATCGAGCGGGTTGGGTGGCAGCGGGCTTGGAGGCCAGTTGACTGTCGAAACGACTCGGGGCGTCATGTTTCACCTCCATCCATCCATCTGCTGTTTCGTCGTGACAGATGAGAGATGAGAGATTACGTGTGCCGGATCGCCCGGACCGCAAGAAAAGGCAGTCTACCACGTGCAAATCAGCATCGCCCCCACATCGCTTGCTGTCTTTTGTTGTCGTTCTCCGTCCTGATTTTCGCTTCTTAACCGCGCCCGGACGCAGCTTGCTTCACCCTTCTATTTCCTTCAACTTCGTGCACCCTTCTTGGTTCTTGGTTCACGAGCTTTCACCACCAGCTTCACGCGCCCACGTAACGACCAGCAACACCCACTCACGATGCGCACCACCGCCCTCTTCTCCATCCTGCTTCTCTCTGCCTCCACCCTCGCCGCACCCTCGTTCGGCCGCATCTCCGGGCGGCAAAGCATCCAATGCGCACCAGTCGACGACGACGGCGTGCCCCTCTCCGGCTCCGCGCCCTCGGGCAACTTCGTCAGCTGCGAGTATGATGGGGGAGCTGGGGAGTGCACATATTTTCCAGCAGTGCGTCATATTTCGCCATTGAAGACAGAGATTGGGATGCTGACTATGTGATTGGAGTGTAGGACGGCTCATTCTCGTCCGGCTCGTCGCAGTGCCCGCCGGGCGTGGCGCAGGATCCGAGCGCTACGTGAGTCTTCTGCGTTCTACTCTCCTCCCCTAACCTCCCTTACTAACACCCCACCTCCCTCGCAGGACGGACGCCCCCTCCACCACGGGCGGCGCTACCTCCACTACGCCTGATTCCACTCCTTCTTCCGCACCCGACGCCTCCTCCACGGACGACTCGACCTCCTCCACTGATGACGCCACCTCGTCGACGCTCGAAACCTCATCCGCGCCGGCAGTAAGCACACCCGCGGCTTCTACGCCCGCAGTAAGCACCCCTGCGGCGTCCACGACGCCCGCCTCGAAGACGACGACGCCCACGCAGACCGAGTCCAGCGCACCGAGCGCGAGCCCGAGTAACGCCGCGTCAGTGCCCACGGTGCCAGCAATGCTCGTTGCGCTCGCTGCGCTCGGGTTGGGGGTCGTGTTGTGAGCGCTCGCTTCCCGCGCGCGGCAGGAGTTAGGCCGAAGGCGAGGAGATGACGGGAGTGCGACAGGGTAAGAGGAGGAGATGTGGGAATGAACTTGAACGGACTCGTACGACGCACGCACGGACTCTGCACGAATGGACTCATGCACGCACGAATGGACAAGTTACGCTACGTATTTTTATTATTGCTCTGTGTATTGAATACACTACTACTTCTGCCTTTTTATCCCTCTCCTGCTGCTCTCGGACGTCCTCGCGCTCGGTATCTCTCTCAGGCAATCTCGCCCGCCGTCGCGCGTCGTCCGATGTGCTTGAGTCGCTGGTGCTATGGTTCGGAATGTACGCATCTTTCGCGTTTCGCGTTTCGAGCGAGCCATCTCTCATGCGCCCGTCGGGGGAGGCTTTCGCGCTCCCTCGTACCTCGGTGCGCGCAGGCTGGAATGAGCGCCGGTGGTGCACGGCGCACGCCCCATCCACATCGTTGAGCTCTCAGCCGATGGTGGGGAGCCGGGGTTCGACTCCCCGCTGACGAACTTCCCCTTGCACTTATCTTTTTTTTTCCTCTGCTGCCACGGCTGCCACTGGTGCTTCATTTTAGGGCCCTGCATTGCTCAGCGCACGGACTCCTCCGGACGGACTCGTGTACGGCCCAAGCTACGTACGTATCTTTATAACTCGATGTTTGAGGCACTCCTCTTGTTCTAGTCTCCTCGCCCTCGTTCTTGCGCTCTTCCGCGTCTTCTCACCTTCATGCGGCATTTCGCACTGGCGTCCTGGCTCCCGGGTACCACTTTGCAGGGTACCAGCGCCTAGATGATCGTGCACGATGGATTAATGGGGAGGCCGGGTTCGACTCCTGCCGGTGCATGGAATGTCTCCAGTCTTTTTTCTCCTCTGCAACCACTTCATTTCCAGGGCCTCAGGCTCGTGCACTGCACGTCCGCGACATACCCAGCACACGGGCGTCAGCACCCACGTACGCTGCCTCTCTTCATTTCTCGCCAGTGCCGTGCTGCGACGGATTCGCGCCGGGAAAGCCCAAGTTCCAGGAAAAGAATATTACTCAGACACGAAGGGATCCATTGAGGATCTTGGATATACCAACCCTTGGAATTTGCTCATCTATTATCAGCGTGGTACTACGAGGCGTAGGCACCGGTGGTGCGCGGCGCACGCCTCCGTATATTACAGAGGCAGGCTCGCAGTGACAAATATGGAGCGACGGGGTTCGAATCCCCGCCGGTGCATGCATTTGTTGTCGTCCTCGTTTTTGATTTTGCGAGCCGTGAACCATGCGGGGGGTGAGAGCGGAGCTCCGTAATTAATCCCAATATCTTGGTGAGTTGAGCACGGATTGAGATGAAACTTTGTCAGAAAATTCTGCGTAATTTGTGTGCAATCAGTGATGGAGAAACATCGGGAAAATATTATATTTTGCATTTTCCCATATGTCAAGTCCCTCCAGCTGATAATTCCAACTAATGAGCTCAAATTTTTACCGACTGAGCTACAATTCTGGTACGTGCTACTTCGACACGTTGATAGTAAAGTGATCCAGCCAAAAGTATGAATATTTCCTTACCTGTATTTTATACTTTGTTTGAAGGCTTGTTGTATTATTATCACTTGTATAGCCCGCCCAGATCTTGCCCTGGTTTTGATAATTATTCGTACTTTTTTGCAAACAGAGCAAGCTAAATTCATCCTCGGTTGAGAACCCGGGTTGAAGTTGGACTCCACTCGCCGATTCCTCTGCCGCCGCGGATCAGCGACGGCAGTGCTGAGCGCTCCACGATCTCGTCTCAGCATGGATCATAAATAAAATGCCCCGTTGGAGCCGCAACTATCATCCAATTGCGGTACCTCGTAACTATAACCCTTAGGTAGGGACCTGCCAGACAGCCTGCCTTATATACAACAGCACTTCTGGATACCCTTCATCAACGGTGACGATTTTACTTGCAAACAGAGCAAGCTAAAAAGATCATCCTCGGCTGAGAACGGTTGAAGTTGGACTCCACTCGCCGATTCCTCTGCCGCCGCGGACCAGCGACGGCAGTGCTGAGCGCTCCACGATCTCGTCTCAGCATGGATCATAAATAAAATGCCCCGTTGGAGCCGCAACTATCATTCAATTGCGGGATCTCATAACCATAACCCTTAGGTAGGTAGGACGACACGGCAAGGTCCAACAGCCGCAGCCTTGAAATGTGCCGTGACCGCTCTGCTCAGACCATAAACAAACGAGTTTTTAAAAAAAAAGAGGACCATCAAAGGACCGTGGCCATGGTGATGTGGTGGTTGGAGCTCTTTACATCGACTCTCGTCTCTGCGGCTGGTATCTGAAGGAGTTTGCTGATACCGGGAATTACACACAGAGGTTTGAATACTGTACCGATTGTGTTAGACTAAGTATAGCTAGGTGCTACCAAAGTCGCATGTTTTCCTGTTTGTGTTCGTTGCTGTACAGCTCTACGACGGCAAGGAGACGTTTGGAACTTTGGACCAAAGGCTGCGGCTGTCGGAATGTGCCGTGTAGTCCTACCTACCCAAGGTGTAATATTTATGAGATCCCGCAATTGAATGATAGTTGCGGCTCCAACGGGGATTCCATTTACAATTTTGGTAACGATTCCATTTGGCATTTTGAGGCGAGATCGTGGAGCACGCAGCACTGCTGTCGCTGATTCCGCAGCGGCGGCGTAATCAGCGAGTGGAGTCCAACTTCAACCGTTCTCAACCGAGGATGATTTTAGCTTGCTCTGTTTCGTCATCGTTGACGAAGGCTATCCAGCAGTGCTGTCGTATATAAGGCAGACTGTCTGGTAGAAGTCGTCTTCATTCGCCACACAACCAACTACCAACGCCCATTTTCGATCCCATTGTGCGTTATCACTTATACTCCCATTCTCCGCGATCTAAAATCTCCCTGCAGACGAATCATGAAATTCGCCCTTGTTGCTGCTCTATCCGCTCTTGTCGTAGTTGTCTCAGCGCAGAACAGCTGCACAGCCGTTGCCACCGTCGGGGGGCCGAAAGGGGAGACTTGCACCAGCTTAGAGCTGGGCGACGCTAAACAGAACATGCCCGGGCTCGGACCTTGCGAAAAGGTCCCCACCGCCGCATGTGTATTCACAGACAACGTCGAGGGAGCTTGTGCCATTCATTTATACTCGGACCAGGGGTGCCAGACATACATTACGGGTGGCCCCACCATTATGTGTGGAGAACCACCCCAGAGTGTGGACTTCAACTCTTTCCAGGTGGAGTGTTAATCCAAGGTCTGTTAATGGTCCTTGCACACACTCACCTTAGATTCTAAAATATTACTAGTGACCTCCTCCCACTTGGAAGTAAATGAGACTGTGTATAAGTACCGATATTGTGAGCTCACGTTATGCGAATGGATAAAGGAGAAAGAGTCCTAAGTATAACTCGCATGGGTGTTGACCACAAGCTACGCAGTATTTCTTTTGTCTCTGTCTA